AAAAAAAAAAAAAAGTTTTCTTTTAATGACGTGCTGAACTTGAACACTATTAGAAATCTTCTCAAATAAGTTAATTTATTCCTTAACGTAAAAAAACAATAAATACATTATTTTGTATTCTGCAGATGGCAATGATATGTACTGTATGTGGTGTTAATTTAAATGCGACACCTCAAACAACTTAGACAAAAATAGATATCAAGTTTAGGGCATAATTGCATGTAGATACATGTTTGGACATTTCTTCGAAACTCACGTTGAATAACAATAATCACATCTTAAGACGGCACTTACCTAGGCTATACATAGATCATTCTTAAAAAAGTATAACATCTCTACCATAAATAGCTTCGGCTACAGCGCGCTTCAAATCTGGCACAAACGATAATCGTCAAAAACCCGTCGTCCTTCCTCGCTTCTTCGGGAATTTATTTCTTTAAAACTAAGCATGCCAGAACATTGAAACAAACGGCATTGTCTTTCGTAAGGAACGCAGCACCGCGTGTAAAAGTTAAAAAAAAATATTACGAATGTACCTCACTACTTGAAGTTAAATGAAGCCGTCCGCCGGTCATTCGAAGTTCGACGAACGTCGAACTTTTTACCTTAAAATTTCGAAGTTCGTCGAACTTCCGACTTTTCAGGATTCGAAAGTTCGAAGCTTTTCGAATTCTCCTGATAAATCAGTTCGAAATTTCGAAATTCATCGAATTTTTTGGTCAGTCAAGTTCGGAAGTTCGACAAGCATCGAACTTTGAGGCGCAATAAGTTCGAGAGTTCGTAAAAGATCGAATTTTTTAGCGTAATAAGTTCGACGATTCGAAAAACATCGAACTCTTAGCTTAACAAGTTCGAAAATTCGACTTCTGTCGAATTTTACGATGTAAACAATTCGAAAAATCGAAATCTTTCGAACCTTTCGAACCGCTTAATTCGATCATCGAAACTTCGATTCGAAAAAAGTTCGCGGCATCCCTAAAGAGGACTCCCCCCCCCCCTCCCCCCCCCCCCCCCCCCCCCCCCCTTTCAGATATTTCGGACTGTTAAAGAAAACAATACGGGGGAAGAGGGCATGGTTGAGTTTATTTTAATCTTAAATTATTTATGCATATGTATAGCTACTGTCGCTCTTCACTGCATAAAAGATTGTGTAGATGTTCCCCATTGTTAGAAACTCGTCAGAAGGCACTGCTCGTCACATGCTCGGTGGCTCGGAAGTTCAAAGCTATGTCTTTTCAACCTAAATAACTGTGCCATTGGTAAAAAATAATCAATAAATAAACATAACAATAAATGCAAAAATAAAAAGCTGGAGAGGCAAAAAAAACTTTCAAGAACCCGCCGGAAGTGTTGTATTCTTGCATATTCAGAGGCCCAGAACTATGAAACAAGTTTCTCCTACTAAAATGTGTACAGGCCAAAAGAAACACGTCCCAAAAACGTAAAATGAGAAAAAAAATGTTTTTATGACGTGCTGTACTACTTGAACAATTTTAGAAATCTTCCCCCACGAGTTAATTTATTCCTCAACGTGAAAAAACAATAAATACATTATTTTGTATTCTGCAGATGATAATGATATGTACTGTCTCTGGTGTTAATTTAAATGTGATACCTCAAACAATGTAGGCAAAAAATATTACCAAGTTTAGGGCATAATTGCCCGTAGGTACATGTTTAAATATTTCTTCGAAACTCGTCTTGAACACCAATAATCATGTCTTAAGACGACACTTACCTAGGCTATACATAAATCATTCCTAAAAAGTTTAACATCTCTACCATAAATAGCTTCGGCTATAGCGCGCTTCAAATATGGCACAAACGACAATTGCCAAAAACCCGTCATCCTTCCTCGCTCCTTCGGGAATCTATTTCTTTAAAACCAGGCATGCCAGATGATTGAAATAAACGGCATTGTCTTTCGCAAGGAATGAGGCACCGCATGTAAAATTGCGGAAAAAAATTACGAATGTGCCTCACTGCTTGAATCCAAATGAAACCGCCCGCCGGTCTTTCGAAATTCGACGAACTTTTGACTTTTCAGGAATCGAAAGTTCGACAGTTGTCGAATTCTTTAGATTAATAATTTCGAAAATTATCGAATTTATTAGCGTAGCAAGTTTGAAAAGCTTGGAACTTTTTAAGTGCAAGAAGTTCGAAAGTTCAAAAATCATTGAATTTTTTAGTCTATCAAGTTCGAAAGTTCAACAAGCATCAAATGTTGCAGCGTAATAAGTTCGAAATTTCGAAAAGCGTCGAACTTCTTAGTTTAATAAGTTCGAAAATTCAACTTCCGTCAAATTTCTCGATATGGAAAGTTAGAAAATTGGAAATCTTTCGAACCGCTTGATTTAATCATCGAAACTTCGGTTCGAAAAAAGTTTGCAGCATCCCTAATTGTAATGCATCCACTTTATGGCCCAGCTATTCTACCGTGAAAAAGCATAAGGGCAGAGAAAGGCAACTTGTGTGGCCAAAGCTGCTTATTGGGGGACCAGAGCTAACCTTGGAAAGCCGGCATTCTGTAGCAAACGGGCATCGCAACACTCGTAGCAAGGAAAAAGTAGGATGCATAGCATCGTCTGGCTTGGTGGGAAGTTGTAGGCTTCCGAATATTTATCGCGGTGTAAGCGGTACGCAATGCAGGTTCATTGCCTGCCTTCCGAGGGACCCGTGTACAGGGAGTAGCTCGGAGACCCACCCCTGCGGGGAGAAGAGAGCGCGAGAGAATGGAGAGAAGGAAACAGAACCAGTTTCCTTCCCGACAGAAGACTATTCTGTAGGTCGGCCTTTGAGTGAGCTTTATACAGCTTTGCCTGCTGTATGGTTAGGTTAGCCATGATTTTTTTCCTCCATTCTCACTTGGCAAACAGTGAAAGGCACAAAAGGTACCGTGAACAGTTTATAACTGCGATCTTTGGCAGCTGGCTTAATGTTTTCAGATCAAGACATTCGCTGCATTTAACATCATTGTCTGCATTTTAATTTTTGTTGACCAATCTTGTGTTTACAGTATTTACCAAGTCGCCATCCGATTTTAAAAATAATTAATTGAAGCGTTCATAATTATTAGTTGTATAATCAGTTAATTGCCCATCTTTCCTCTGGTTAGGGTCTGTAGCCTCTGAAAATATATTCAACTGCTCAGACCCTTGTAACCCTTCAATCGTTTGGGACACAGGTTGCTCTTCGCACCCGTCCCTTTCCCTCACCTGGGATGATAGCAGGATAAAATTACGAGCTCATGCTTCCGACTTTTGACCAAAACGTCATGCAGTAGGAGCACCGACTTAGGCTTTTGCGCATCTGCTTCTAGCCTTCATTTCGGTGATAAAATGCAATAAGTAAAAAAAAAACTTGGTTTTGAAGTTTTCAGACAACCAATCAGCTTGTGCTCTAGCACTTCACAAAGCTAATGTTAAAGGAGCTGTGCAATGGTGTTACTGTTGAAAGAATTTGCATCTTCTACTTTTGACATTTTTATCCCAGAAAGGACATAAAACTCATCTTCCTTCGAAATGTTGCGATTCCGCCACGTAATCACAAGGCAAAAATTAGATTATTTCCCAATCTGCAGCTGCGAGCGGCGGCTATGAGAACACGAGACATGACGTCAAAGGGGTACTTGTAAAAAAAATAGCAAGTTGTGCAACTACCTGCTTGATAAAAGGTAATTTTTCTATAAATCTTATTGTTCCAACATAAATGCGTCAAAAACCTGGTATCATTGACAAACTTTTATTATACAGAGTTTCAGTGGCGCCATCTCTCTGAGATCAACAAAACCGTCAGCTCTATTTGCTACAGCGAGGAGCCGCCAGAAGCCGGCCATAGAGATCAGTGAGCCTGACGGCCGGACCTGGATGAGCACATTGACACTTTCCTCCTTTTGCCATGTTGATCACGCAGTGCAAAAACTCGTGGTCGTAAGCGTGCGAATTCTCGCTGCTCACTGATGGCGCTAGAGAGAGAGCTTCACTGGAACCTTTCACGTCGCAGCACACGTGTCTCAGAAGATGGTGAAGGGGTTGAGAGGTGCCAAAAGGCTCAATCGTCAATTTTTTTTTTTATAAAAACTAGGACATGCAGGAAAAAGCGGATTTTTGTTCTTCAGAAAGGCCGAGACACCAACTCCCACAATAAGCAAAGCACTGAAATTGTTGCACAGCTTATTAAGCACTTCAAACACGTCCCATAAGTGACGCACCCAGTGTCGACGTTGCTGCTATTCCACTTACCAGTATTGCGCCTTGCACATGCATGCACAGGACTTCGTCCAAACAGAATGAATATTGCCCCAGTTCTGTGCACCTGGCTAAGTTGTAATGGAACAAAGCCACGGAGGCATATATTTTTTCCACATATACCTTCCTGTGCACCTTACTCACGACTAAAGTTTTGGCTTCGCTGTGTACCGGTAAGCCTAAAAATATCTTCCCCAAGTCGGTTTTATCAATCCGTAAAAACGAAAAACCCTATCAAAGCTGTCCTTGCGTAAGAAAAACCCAAGCTTTACAAGAAACTCTCGATACAGTTTTTGTTTTGTGTTGAACATGCACGTGACCTGAACACTCGGAAAAACTCCTATCATTGATAGAAGCAAATGAGATATGGTACCCGCAGAAAGAAGCACCCTCTCAGACTTCTGTGCAGTCTCCCCCACCCGCCCTAGATTCTGATAAAACCAGCTTAAGGGTTAATTTTCGGGAATTATTGATATCTACCGAACATCACTGATCAGCAAGAATGGTCCCTTGTTTTCACACTTCTCTTCTCTGTGGAGAGGTTTTCACACTTCTCACACTTCTCTTTTCACTGTGGAGTGGTGTTGGTACCAAACGTGTGATAGAACACCTACAAGAGCCCTACAATGATTACTTGTTCCACGTCTCCTTCCTGCACGAGGGAGTGATGTTTTGACGCACGTGCTACAGCATTTGCGTAGCTGTAACAAATATGAAGTTTCACTGCAACCAGTTTTTACTTTTTATTTTCAGCACCCTGAAGCGGCTGAGAGTATTTACAGCAGATCCTACAAAAATGAAATAAACAAAGGTTTTAACAGGTGATGTCAAATGTCTTTATTGTCCAGTGAGACCCACCCATTACATGCCTAGGGCCAGATATTCCACACAGGACATATTGCTTCACTGTTGCAACTATAGACCTGGATCTACTTTGGGGTGCCTATTGTATACTCTTGGGGTAAAAATGTTTCATTGTCACATCAAACACAAACAGAGCTGGCTGGAGATGCTAGAACCTTGATACCTAAAGGCACAATAACAGACACTGAACTTGGTCACTGTTCATTAAACTATCGGGCAATTTCTTATTTCCTTTTTTTTATTTGGTCACTTGATAGCTTATTTGAGGGTGAACATACCTTTGACAATCGTTTAGAAACAATTTGCCACTGTTTCAATATACACATGAGCATAATTTTTAGTTCAGCTTTGGCAAGTATGCACACTGGAATTTTTCAAAAATGAGTGTCCAACCTAGTTTTCTCTGGATTCATGGATTAAGACACAAGTAGAAAGCTCTCTATGGTGCGCATTAGGCTCCTCGCACATTACTTGCAAATCCAGTGGACACCATGACGGCTATAGATAAAAGAACTTTCAGCCTTTCCACTCTAATAAAGAAGGAAGACCGCCAAAGCTGTACCATGGTGGGAACAAAGTAATGGCCGGCCGCAAGTCTGCAAGCCAGCGTGGAAAGGTTGATGCCATCTATGAGCGACGGCGACAACCAGTAAGCCCGTTGTCTGGTTGCTGCAGTCGCTCATACATGGCGGTAGCTGTCCAGGGTGTTGTGTCGACATTTGTTTGCTGGCGGATCCTGGGGAACTAGCACTTAACACCTTAAAAGCTCTGCTGTAAAGTAACACCTACATAGAAGAAACCCAACAGCATTGTGGCTGCCACTGCAGATTAATTACCATGTTCATGCTGGACCTGTACTCCATTTCACATATCGCATCTACCACAGCAAGGCTACAAGCATTGGTGGGCTATAGTCCGTTACGATGTACTGCAATGGAGCCATGTTAGCCAAGCGAAGCTGAACCGATGCAAGACTGCGCTCGACACGTCACTCAATCAAACCGAAAGGTCACGTGACATGCTTCGAGCTATGGATTGTCTCTGGTGATTCATAGCATCCATTGCAGTCCATAGTAAGGTGAAACAGTAATATAATAAGGTACCTGATTTGTTTCCCCCGCCTGCCGACAGCAAGGTGGTGCTCATCCAAGTTGACACAATTCTACATGGTAAGATTTTGTGTACAGTTTCCGAATTGCACACCCAAATGCTTAGACCCCAAATACAAGTGTCTTTTTCTAGTCTGACAATTGAATCGGTGACCTTTAAGGCCTTCAGTTTAAGTTCACATTATCCATCAATTTTCGGGATTTTCTTGAGCAATGCTGGCTCCCTGTTCACACAGCCTAAGTACACATCGTAGCCTGCACTGTAATATATCTAATCTGTGGAATGGAATGTGGTTTTGCCCAAAAGGACTTCTCTTCAACTTGTAAACAAGTACTACATTCCCACATTAGGCATTTCTGGCCTTTGCACACCAAACTATAGAAATTTGTAGGTTAATGACCCACAGCTTATTGCTAATCTTGCACAGTTGCAAAATTAATGCAATATTGAGGAAGAAGTATTTCTCTACTTCTTTAACTGGAGTATCTAGCAAATAAATTATTATGAGTTGGGTGCTGTAGTTTGCAACAGCAAGCAAACAGTTGCTGGAAATGCTAGTGTGAGGACTAAAACATGTCCTGCTCCAACATATTCCTACCAGTAACAATGCCAGTCTGAGGACTAAAACATGTCCTGGCCCAACATATTCCTATTAGTAACGAAAGTAAAGGCAAATGTGATCGCATGCATGCATAAAATTGCATCCACCGGCAATCAAATTCGCAAACCACAAACAAAAACCTGGTAAAACCGCAACACAATAACCAATTTGAACACTTGGAAAAAGGTATGAGGCAGAGAAAATGCCAAGTGATGGCAGGTTGAATATCTAACAACTCAACTACAGCAATAGGAAAACTTATTAAAATTCTTTATATTAAAAGTGGTTTACAATTAAGGCTGCCCATCAGACAAAATAGCATTATGTGGCAGTTACTTATAAGCCAAAAAAAAAACTTTTTGTCAAAAAAATACTTAGAATGTGAGGTCATTTTGCCCTGCCGTCCTCTAAAAGACACACTGACAACGTTGAGCGACGAAACATTGACAGGCTAGCAATGCCACAAAGAAAGCACGTGGTATAAGTCGTATCCAGCTTTGCCCATTTACAACTGGTGAAGGTCTGGATTATGGCTTCCGAAGCTTTGCTGGGTGGCAGATGCAGCTTACTTGTACTCGTTCATAAACTTTTGGTGGAAGGTCCTGAACTTTTCCAGCATGATCTTGAGTTTCTCCAAAGGAGGAAGTATCGTTGTCCTGAAAAGATGAGAAATTGAGATGTTTTCGGCCCCAATTTTGTGTTTGTTTCGTTTAAAGGCCCTGGGCTGGCCTTGGAAGGGATCCAGGCTTTTGCAACCATAATAGCCTATTCATCTTTCCATCTCCTCTTACACTTCTGGCATGCTTGGTTTCCCCTGGGTCCACTACCGGGCTTCATTTTGTGTGAAATTCAGAGTCCACAATTGTGCACACATGAGGCTTCACCTCTTTGCACCATCATGCTAGGAATAGTGGTCGATGCGGCATTTAGGTTACTTGATCGGTGCAGAAATTTTGCTCATTAGAATAGGTCAACGTTCTTTGGTTGAGATTATACACCGACCCCTAATTTTAAATCAGTTCTTAACCAAAGTTCACCGGTATTGAATAAACATGATTACTTTTCATGGCTGAGAAACTCCATTCGAAATAAAGTGCAGTGCAAGAGTTGCTTCCAGTCTCGCCTACTGAGCCCAAAAAGTATTACCAGCTATGTTTTCTCGAATCATAAATTTTTTTTTTTTTTTTTATTGCAGTCTTTTTAAAAACATAAGGTTCTACTCTACTACCTGATAGTTGCTTCTCCAGCGACATTCATAATGAAAGAAGTCTGGTTCTTTGCAGTTTCACAAATTCTCAAACAAAACTAAATGGGGGCTCTTGATACTGAGCAGCATTGCGGAGTGACCACTCCAGAGTTCGGAACAATTCCGGAATCATTCCGCGTTTCTGCGACCCCGGAATGGAATGGGAAGGAAATTTGACGCCCTTTCCCCGTAAAGCAGTGGGCTCTGTTCTTTCCGAGCTGCGTCGATTTTCAGCTAGGAGCAGCCCGCTGGTGCAACACTAGTGCACGGTCAAAGTGGCCCTTGACACATTATAATTGCACTTAGGGTGAACGACGGCCTGATTGTCTGACCGGCTAATGCTCCTTCGAGGATGGAAGTGCCCCTCCTCCCCCCATGAAGCAACCCCAACTGAAAAGTTGTAGGCGGACAAGACGTTCCTGGCGCCACGAGATGTGACAAAGCGTTGCGACTATGCACAATTACAGCCCCGGTCATAGGCCACCAAGCAAAGACAATGCCACACTGCCCGCCCCTCTGGGATGCGGGCCTTTTCGCACCAGAGGCTCGTGCAGAGCCATAAGTGCCATTACTGGCTCAGGTTTTTGTGACACAGGGCGGCTAGCTGACTCCCCAACGAGCATCTCACTATAAATATACAGGGTGTCACAACAGAAAATTTACACAGTCTTTTTTACCGCAGAAATAAACTAGGCATCGCCGAACGCTCATTCTCCGCCCAAAGGTAGAGCTAGAGGTCACAACCAGATGCCAAAGTTTCAGCCCGATCCGATTTTCTGAAAATTTCAATGGGAAAAGGGAGCCCATTTTTGCCCGTTTTCGGTTTCTGGTGCCATAGAGCCCCAAGTGTTTGAAAACTCCGTCGGCCGCCATTTTCCCATTGAAATTTTCAGAAAATCACTTATAACTTTTGATTAAGTTATTGGATCGGGCTGAAACTTTGGCATCGGGCATTATGCTGCAGCTTAGAGCCAAGCGAGGTCACGTAAGCTTTCCGCCGTAGTTCCTTCAGCTGCCACTCGCGGCTGCAGGCGGGGGAAAAAGCATGACTTTTGCTTTGCGATTATGCAGCGGAATCGCAACATTTTTAAATGAAGGAGATGTTTTCTTTATCCTCCGGGACACGATAAACAATGTAACAATGACAAGATGCAAATTCTTTTAATTTTAAAATCGTTGCACACCCCCTTTAAAGTCTGGGGGGTCTCAGGAAGTCATGGACTGCCCTGCCCCTGCCCCTGCCCCCCCCCCCCCCCCCCCCCCCCCCCCCCTCCAGATTTTAATGGATGGTCCGAGACCCTCCTCCACAGCCCCAGCATTAGTGAAATCAAAATCATATCTTGCAATAAAATAGCTTGTTTTCAAGGATGTGACGTTTGGGGATTAGCGATTTGAGGGTTGAAGGTACAGCTTGGGCAGAGTCAGCGGTGGAGTTTATTTTATGTGTATTTAGTACATCTCGTCAGAATCCCATCCCCTCCCCTTCACGTCCACCACACCACACCACACCACACTCCAATCCACTCCACTCCCTCTCCCTTCCCCCCCTCCCCCGCCCCCCGCATGCCTTCTTGCAGGGACCCCCCTCAACTTACGGGAGACTTTAAGCACTGGCTATGGCTCACCTGAAATGGAAGGTCCCTGGAATCTGGCCAAACCCGCTACCAGGAACAACACATACTCCAGTGTTTTCAAGCAACTGCATTACATAGAAGAAGTCTGGAGCTTGCCCAAGTGACTGCACAAAGAAACAAGAGCAAAGTCAAAGGAAACATCTGACCACTGTTTTCTTACCAATTCACCATGTATGCATTTTGCAAGCACGATACAATGTAGTACACGTTTGAACTGCTAAGCTATCAATTCTTAACTTTATAGTGCTTTCATATTTCCGATAGACCACAGACTGGTCTGTACAACAGACATTGCTTCTGCCATGTCTAAAAATGTATATATATCTGATACTGTAATCTTAGTAGGACACGGTCGCTCCTATTGAATGGTCTTCCGCCCACAAGATGCATTATTAACTTCCCTTGCTACTGCCTTCTATTGCAAACAATAAGGAAAGAAAAACTACCTTGGCTTTCTCTATGGCTTTTTGTGGTAACGTGAACTTGGGGAAAGCATACATTGCCCCAGCCACTTGGTTGCAACGGAATCCCTCAAAAGAGTTGAATGTGTCGGCAACCAGTTGAGCCCGTTCCTTCAGCGAACTCAGAACAGCAGTTTTCTCCTGGTCAAATGCAAGAAAGAACCAGTTAAAACATTTCTGAGATTGAGACATCACTTGGGAATTTTGAAACCACATCCATTACCTTGATGAAGAGATCATAGGATGGTTCCCCAGGCCTGGGAGGATTCACCACACAGTCCATGGCGCACTAAAAAGTTTTGCGCCATCACTCAAGGATGTGACCGTAATTGTACATTCACAACTATAGTCACTGACAGGACGAGAACAGCAGGACGCCTCTTTCTGATGCCCGGCCTGTAGCACACACCCGTTGCCGTCCGACGTGCCTTGGCTACGCATGCTTGCTCGAGGGACGAAGCTCGCGCTGTTCTCATTCTGTCAGCGACTAAAATTCACTAAGTGTGCCACCCTCATGGATAGTGTGGTGCTACATTTACTGCTTACCTGACCAAGAACTGACGAGCAGAGCTTGGCAGACACCGATTTGAGCAGGACCTTCTTCACCTCGGGATCCAGGTTGATTGCCTCGACGTAGCCACCACGCAGTCCACACCTGCATGTCAACAGGGGAGTCCCTCCGCATACCCGAGGCAACAAAAAGGGAAAAGGAGCAACCCTCACTCGCCCATGTAGCCCTTGGATGCCGACATGAAGGAAGCCAGCTCCATCTCTTGATAGGGCGATCCCATTTCATGCATGACCTTGCGGAAGCTGTGGAATGCCGCTCCTTTTGCGTAGATGTTGTGTTGGTACACCTAAAAAAAGAAAAGATGTTTTTTCTTCTTTTTTTTTTTTTAAATTCCCCTCAACCACAGTGCAAGGGTTGAATTCTTACTTCATCTGCCATGAGGAAGAGCTTGTTCTTGTAGGCAAACTGCACTACTTGCTTGATATTTTCCTCTGTCAGGACAGAGCCTGAAAGGTCCAAAGTGGCCACGTAAACTTTCTGGCTGGGTGGTTTCATTTGGATTTGCTGTGTCGGGGTGGGTATCTGGATTTGCGTGACGTGAATATGCGAGACAGCCCCACATCCATAAATAACCATTCTAATTGTTTTGACACAAAAAAGTTTCTTCACCCCCCAAAGGAACTAGAGCAAGGTGGAACTCGAAAGCTGAAAATCTATTATCACTGAACTTTTTGGCTCGATTGCCTACCTCAAAAATAATGTACAATAAAAATGGTTCAAATGCATGCTCGCACCTGTGGGGTTCCCTGGATTGATGACAACCAAACCACGAGGTTCGCAAACTTTCCTTGACTCGTCGAGAGACCTCTGCAGTTCTTTGAGGCTCAATGCCCAGTCATTATCTTCATCCAGATAGTAGTTTATCTGAAAGTTATGCAAAACACAATGGCTTTGTGATAGCCTTGACCATTAGGTAGTGTCGGATCGACCTGATCCCAGCTAGATAATTGGACGTAAAGTTCTATTCTATAGCCAAACAATCATTCTTTTTCCAATCATTGAAATTTCTGACCATTTTAATAGAGCCACAAAAATTAACATGTTGTAATATAGACTGGAGCAACATAGCGAGTTATGTTGAAGCACATACCTGGTGCAACCCATATTCTGCAAGTGTTGCAGAATAAAGAGGGTACTGTGGAATGGGAATCATAACACCAGCTGGCCTCCCATTGCTGTGCACATTAAGCAGGTTCAGTACTGACTGCAAGGAAACCATAGCACCACCAGAATGAGGAAATTTCAGTCTAGCGCAAGGGTACCTTATATCCTATGGTAGAGGGTGTGACTAATAATCAACTGTAACCGAAAATAACTATTCTTTTTTGATAAGCAACCTTTATTACCGAAAAAAAAGAGCAACTTGGAAGGTTTGGCTTTTCAAGTTAATTTCATTGCCAGTTCCAATGTTCTGTGGGTCATATTTGGATTCAGTTGCAACTTAAGGCTGTGTTTAAAATGTTAATTTTGACCAACCTCTAACATGATCTTGAGCAAAGTCAAAAGTGGCTCGTGGTTGGACAAAGCTTGCGTAGAAAAATGAGCGCTCTTCAATTTCACCTGAAGCCGCTATCAGCCTTGGAAGGCTGCTTTTCATCTTCTACCGAGAAGCACAGAAACACTTGGAACTTTTAAAGTTTGATATGTTATTTGTATTAAAATATTACATTGCTGGTACTAAGCTCTTTGCACCAATCAATGGGATGTTTTTTTAGGTAGCACTCTGCATTTTCCTGTGGAGACTCGAAATAAACAAGCAGTGCACAACCATGTTAATCTAAATGTGATGGCACTGCTTTGTTGCCACTTACTCGTACAGCCCACCATGAAGCTCCAAACTTAGCTTAAAGGGATACTGAACCGAAATTTCGAGCTCACTAAACAAGGCCGGGGCGGATAGGCGGAAGTTGCAAAACCAAAAAATATCACTCATACAGCGATGTATCTACCGGATCACCGTATTTTTTGGAAAAGAAGTGCGCGATTAAACCCGGTCGATGAGGCCGACGAGACAAGACACATCACGATTCCCCCATTCTCGCTCCTCCTCGCTACGTCCCGTCAAGCTGGTGAACCGAAGCGAGGCCACTTCTCCTCATTCTCAAATTCTCCCGGAGGACAGTTACGTCAAAGAACTCGCTTGATCGCGCCCTTCTTTTCCAAAAGTACGGCCACCCGTTTGAGATATCGATGTACGAGTGATGTTTTTGAGTTTGTTAGCATCCGGTTCAACACTTCTGCAGCCTTACTTTGCGAAATCAAAATTTTGGTTCAGTATTCCTTTAAGTGGATGCTGCACATTCATACATCCCATTGGACTAATACCTAGTTTTGATGGCAGTCCTTCGGCCATCTGAGAAAAATAGACAAAGCCAGCAAATTTTTGCTAGTTGTGTCACACCCTATACAACTTGCTAATAAAAACAAGGTCAGAAATTGGCCACTGACCCGGACAGATTCGCTGGCTCCAGTGGAAAGGAGCACATCTTCATAGTGTGCCTTGACACCATCTCGTTGGCTAATGTAGTCTGCTACGTGCTTCCGGATTACTTCAACGCCGGCGCTGTCACTGTAGGCCCCTTGAATATGAATGGAAATAATGCTTGGGTAACACGGTCCAACAACACATTGACTATAGAATGAGAAAACGACTCTAATAAGCAGCAGCCCAAGACTGTTTCGTTTTGCAGAGAGCTGCAACCCAAGATGTTCAAAAGCTCGCCAGTTTTTTTAAAAGCTCCAGATGTACTGCCTCCAGCAACATAGCTGCTTGTGAAGCTAGTGAGGTTACTGAAACCCAATTCTAAAACCAAAGCACTAAATTTGACATCAAAATGGTAGTGGAGGGAAGGCTGTACTGCATGTGCCCCGATTTTCAGCACGCAACTGTTACACAAGTGAGAATACCTGGTGAGAGGGGGCCAGGGGCGGATGCAGGAATTTCCTGAGGGGGGGGTCAGCTGTTGGTCAGCATACCATATGTCTAGGAACCCCCTCCCCCTCTCCCTCGTTTTATGCCCTAAATTTTACACATGCAGAAATCAAGAGGGGGGTCAGGACATCCGGACCTCCCCTCTAAATCCGCCCCTGGAGGGGGCTATGCACATACCTGTAGCCTTAATTCCACTAATACTGGTGTAATACATAATAGTTAGAAGCCCACTGCATGCCACATACGACGGGAGTGCTCACTCGACCCAGTCACAGAGATATAAGCAAAAGATGGTGCAGAGGAAGTGCTAGCCATTAATCATGGTAACCCAATGAAATGTATTGTTTCTGTCCTACAGCCTTAATTTACTACTACAATTAAGGACACTTGACCTAAAGAGGGTACACATACAGTCCGTAAGAATATCAAAGACCCACGTGAAGTGCATGGCAAACACAATAATGCATTTCAGGTAGTTTTATGCTGCACAAAGCAGAGCCAAATCCGAAACTGCTGGCAAAATAAGTTGGTGCACCGTGACAGAGTGCACCATTTCCTCCCCTCAAAATGACATGGAATGGCCCAAATCGCACACAGCAGCCCCTCATCCAGCCAACGGCTGTCTTTCATGCTGTTGGAGAGCTTGAACAAGTTGTCAATATTTTCTGATTTATCTCTTCAAATTGAAAGGTTACCACCAAAACTACTAGTGTGATGGAAAGTGCTCATTTGGGGCACTAGCCTAAGCGTTAAGTTTGGTGCTCGTCAATACCCTGTAGAAGTAAAAAAAGCATTGAGGTTTGCGCCAACTGTGTCATGCAGCATGTTATTCCGATATACTTTTCTGGTCCTCACCGGCACTCTTGCCCCCGCAATGGTTAAGGATGTCCTGAGCACGAGATTTGACATCCTCTGGAAACAGGTCTCCTTTCATCAACTCCGGGAGAGTACAGGCTGCAATGACCTATGGAATTCCAAGAGTAGCCAATATAGCCTATGGCAGTCACAAAGATATTTTTTTCTTTTCTTCAACATATGAGGCAATACAGTTTGTTCTTTTAGACTCAGATTAATTCAGACATACAAAAACAGGACTTATCATAATAACATCATTCCTTGATTTGGCATTACTAGCTCGAAACCCAACTTCATATACGCATAGCCCAGATTACTGGAGAGTATTGCATGCCAGAACTGATTATGGAAATGTAAACACTTCATTACATTGTACCACTTAAAATTAACAAACCTATTAAAAAGGATATTTACATAAAATGCATTAAAAATTACCAGAAAAGACAACTGTTCATTAACAATACATTTTAAAAAGACCCTAGATGTTACATGCTTCATTTTATTATTTGTGAACTTATAATATGCAATTTATATTAATCTCTATACTGACAAAGCTGTCAAACTTTTTATGAAGCAAGGACTTCACAAGCTACATTGAGTAGCTTTTTGTCCCCCGTTTTTTTCTCCACAACTATAGAATCAATAAATTCAAATTAGTTGACTTGGAAAACTTTTTGCACTTCCCAGTGTAACTTCCAGAAATCCCAAATTCAGAACTGTTTACATTTGGGAATAGGGACTGCACTTGGGGGACTTAGCACGCAACACATGTGCACAGGAATTTATTTTCCAGGAACGTACGAGGGACCAGACAACATTTGTTGTGGGGCAAAAGGCTGCTTGGTGCAGATTATTTGCACTTCTGTTGACTTTTTGTCCAACCCCAGATATCAACAGAAGAGTTCCAACACACATTTAATCAAGTGGCAGTTACGCCTTGACATACCTGCCGGAAAAATGTCAGCGGCACCTGGCCCATTGCATGACAGTCTCCAATGTTGGCTCGAATCACTTCTGTGAAAGGTCGTTGTTTGCCCTAAATGTATATGATGCAAAAAAAAAAAAAAAAAATAAAGGCACTGTTAATAATGTGGCAACTGCACAAAGACACTTTTACATCACATTCTTGAAATGAAAAAAAAAAAAAAAAAAAGCCTATATACTATAGAGAATGGGCACATATTTTTTGTATTTTCAGAATATGCCAAGAAGTTTGCAAAGGAAATCAATCAATGCTTTTTTTGTGTGCAAATACACAACCAGATCTCTGCTGCTGCTTAGTTACTTCCTTTTCAGCAAATCTATCAAATAAGTTTTTTTTTTTTTTTTTAATAAATTATAAACAATACATATATATATATATAAATTTTCCCTTCTCCACAGGCAGTGTTTACAGCTCAAAGCGTCCGAGGAGAATAAAAACTACCTTCCTTATAAAAAAAAAAATGCACCAGTCGTTGCATTTCAACGCTCCCACTCTCCGCGAATGTGTTCCCTTCGAATGGTACAGCTCCCACCAATTCACACGATTCCGTCTGGATACCACCCCCGATGACATGTGGACTCGAACAGTCTTGGATAATCTAAAAGCTCGCCCACTTCGCGGAACAGGGTCCCTCCATGGCCGATAAAGAAGGGAGTCGGACAGCTCGGACCAAAGCACGTCCTCGACGTGTACTTGTAACTTCTTATTGTAAACATGTGCGGAAACTTAACACCATCACGTGGAAACCTTGGTTGGTCACACCGGTACATCTTGTACGCACCTCCGCTCACGAAAGCGAGACCCAAGCTTGCTTCGCGACTCGAGCAGACGATACTGCGCTACCAAGTCGAAACAAACTTCGTGAAAACCGCTCTTCTGCTTTCACGAAAGACAGAACGCGGGCAAAACGAGCAAAGCACCGGTAACCGCACACCAAAGAGAAAGAACCAGCCAGAGATCGGCCAACCAGTGACATTATCAGTAATGCATGTTGCGAGCTGCGGGAGCCTGAAAGAAGCGAGAATCCTCACCGCTCCTCCTTTAAGTTCCTTCTCAATTTCGCCGGCTCGAATCACGATGGGGCCGCGTACAGCGTACTCCATCGTCTTCAAGTGAGGGTTCATATTATCCAGAGTCACGGTCCTCCCTGCCATCGTGGTAGTGGTCTCCGCTGTCCCGAAATTCGCTTTGCCCACTTGCACCGCTCTTGCTACTCTTGCTAGCCGTAGGTCACGTGGGAAACCACCCGCCGATAGGAGGCGAAGCGCAGCGCGCCTGTGCATGGTTTTTGTGAAAAGGCGTCGATGCAGAAGAATGCCGATTTCCTAACACCAGATGGTTTCCTCGAAGGGTACGTGTTGTTACGCTCTTCGAGCAGCAGTAATATGAAGGTGACAGATTACAAATCCAGGGAGATCATATCGCTTTGCTTGGAGTACCGACGATTGTTTTGCACAACGGGTAAATTTAGATCGACTGTTCCGCAGTCAATGTCGCACGCGCCGTTGAATAGTTGTCCTTTCTATTCTATTTAAAATGTTTATTTGTATTTATATAATTTCAGAAATAATAAATTCTTAGTATTAATTCATCAAGAAAGCGGTGTAAGGGGTCAAGATTGGTGCATTTACTGTGACGCTACTCGTTTCATGATGTTTGATAGTGTTTGCTCTTCCGCTGGCTGGTTGTAAGTTGTAAACTCTGTGAACAAATTCCTTGCCTGCAGTTATGTAATTGGCATAATTTGCTTCGGGTACGTTCTGCTCTCGGTTAAATACATTTAAGACGTAATGTGGATACATTCTTTTTCTTCCGTTCCGAGCAGATTACTGTTAAACTAAGCGCACGTTTTAAGTGCAAAAACGCATAAAACTTTTTTTTTTTTTTTGTGTGTGTGTGTGTGTTTATTTAGTTTACAGCTGATATTACGGTTAAAACACGTAACACTGGATCTTCAATCAACCTGCGCCCGTGCTACCTCGAGACTTTCATGTTCTTCAAACAGATGCGCTCGGTAGCTTGGGCCTTGGGCTACACCGCGCGGCCCTTGGCGGATTTGGAGTGTTTTTTTGGAGCGCGAAGTTTCGATGATCGAATGAAGTGGTTCGAAAGATTTTGAACTTTCTATGTCGAAAAATCCACTGAAATCGAATTTTCGAACTTGCTAAACTAAAAAGTTTCACGCTTTTCAAACTTTGCACGTTCAGAAATGCAATGTTTTTCGAACCTTTCAACTTATTACGCAAAAAAATTCGATCCTTTTCGAACATTCGATTTGCTACGCTACAAATATCGATGCTTGTCGAACTTTCGACCTTGATAGACAAAAAACTGGATGATTTTCGAACTTCCGACCTTCTTGCACTAAAAAGTTGGAAGCTTTTTTACCTTTCTACGCTAAGAAATTCGATAGTTTTCGACTTTCGACCTTATTTATACAGAGAATTCGAACTTTTGAATTCATAAAAGTCAAAAGTTCGACTTTTATTGTAAAAGTTCGAAGTGCGTCGAATTTCGAAAGACTGGCGGGCGGTTTCATTTGGATTCAAGCAGTGAGGTACATTCGTAATTTCTTTTTCTCGCATTTTTACATGCGGTGCCGCATTCCTTGCGAAAGACAATGCCTTTTATTTCAATGTCCTGGCATGCTTAGTTTTTAAGAAATAAATTCTCGAAGGAGCGAGAAAGGACGACGGGTTTTTGACAATTGTCGTTTGTGCCACATTTGCTATTTATGGTAGAGATGTTAAACATTTTAAGAATGATCTATGTATAGCCTAGGTAAGTGTCGTGTTTCTTTCAGCCTGTACATATTTTGGTAGGAGAAACTTGTTTCGAAGTTCTGAGCCTCTGAATATGCAAGAATACAACACTTACGGCAAGTTCTTGATAGATTTTTTTTTTTTCGCTTTTAATTTTCGCATTTATTGTTCTGTTTAATTTTCTTTTACCAATGCCACAGTTATTTTGGTGGAAAAGACATAGCTTTGACTTCCGAACCACTAAGCATGTGACGAGTGGTGCCATCTGACAACGAGTTTTCGACAATGACCATCTACGCGATCTTTTATGCAGTGAAGAGCGACAGTAGCTATTCATATGAATATATAATTTCAGATTAAAATAAGCTCGACCACGCCCTCTTTCCACGTATTGTTTTCTTTAACAGTCCGAAATATTGGGGGGGGGGGGGGGGGCAGGGCAGCCCTCACCCCCTCCCTTTTTTTTCTCTAATTTTTCCTCTTCCGCCGTCACTGGTATGGTAGAACGCCCCTCGACCTCGCGTTGTGTCGGCTTCTGTGATTTTTGCTCGGCGTTTCCTCCGTCCCGGAAAATAAACCTCCAGAACAATTACAAGCTAAACTTACTATATGCCAGCGTACCTCGGCCTGCGTTCGATCGGATTACTACCAGCGTGCAAGGGGTGGGGAGGTACTTTGCCAGATCGTTTTAAGGTTTTTCTGAGCCTCAACCCCCTGCCCGCCCCTGGCCGTTACGAACTGGATGAGTATCGTAAAACAGTGCGTTCGTCACAACTACTGATCTATGGTCACACGTCACTCTGCCCCGGCAAATATTCCAGCACATCCGGGACACTCTGACCAACTTCGCACAGTCTAAATATCACCCCGAACATTTCTAAACCTGATTTCGTGAAAACCAGTGAGGCGTGAAAACGTTATTTGAAACTGAAACTGGTGGAGGAACATGAAAACCGGACTTCGAACTTTGCGAACTTCGACTTGAAAGAAATGCGAAATCTGTTTTTTTTTTTTTCGAACTGAGCCCTAAAAGAGAATCGAAACCGTCGAAATTTATCTAGACAGAAATTCGAAGTCTTTGATTTTTCGAACTTAATGTCTAGAAAAATTCGAGACGTTAGAATTTTTAGAATTTCATATCCAAAGAATTTCGTAATCTTCGAATTGTTCGAACTTCAAATTCAAAGAAATCGAAATCTTCGAATTTTTCGAACCTCAGATTCCAAGAAATTCAAAATTTTCGAATCTCTCAAATACCTCGAACGTCAAGTAAAAAAATATTCGAACTCGAACTTTTGGAAACCGTGAAAGCTTACACCTTTTTTTAATTCGAAACTCCACGGTGTTCGAAAGTTGCGAACTTTTCAAGTTCGAACCTAGGGTGGTTCGCGATATTCCTAGTTGGTATCTTCCTGGGCTCGTAAGTGCACGCTGATATCTACTGCACCAAAGGCGCGAGCATGGAGCGCTTTTGGATCGCTCTAAATCCACCAAGGGAAGTCCATATTAGTTCAGAAAATTTACCATTGACCATCACGCAAGCTGACTGACCGTCTCCTTTATCAAGTTAAATTCGGCCTTACTTAACTTCCAATGCCAGACATGTAGAGCTATTTATCATCTGCGTTTATCAGTGAGAGCTGCGCATGCTTTTGGTTTTGCGTTTGCCGTTCACATGGGCTTTTTCTGCCAGACTTCACGCAAATAGGAAAAGTTTTGCTTATGTAACTTCAGTATCAGTAATTCAGAAGCTGCTTCTAATCCTATTAGTGTGCATCAGGCATGGCGAATGTAATTTTTTCCCTAGGTATTGTTTGCACCACACTGTTTTGGGTATGTGCCATATGTGGTACAACATGCAGTCTTCTTTGGAGATGTTATAATCAGGCACGTAGCCAGGGGGGGGGGGGGGGGCATGCACCCCCCCCCCCCCCCGAAATCTTCATTTTGCTGGGACCTCCTCTCCCCCCTCCCCCTCATACAGCATTTTGTCATGGGCGCCCCCCCCCCCCCCCCCCGAAACAAGATCCTGGTTAGTGCCTGGTTATAATATTGTAATTTGCCTGCAGTCAGTCAAAGTACACTACACCTATCTCAAGAATGTAAACCCTCGTGGCTGTACGTTGGGCTTGGCAGAATCTAGAGGTCAATGAAACTATAGCATAATATTATTTCATAAACTCGGCAGACCAAGGAAGAAAAAAAAAAGTCAGCGAACTTCAAGTTGTCAGTAGCTGGGACTGCAAAGCTGAAACACCTGCTTAGAGAAAAGGAGGGTATCTTAGCAGTCCAGTAGTCTTAACTAATTGCGAAGAAGCAACATGGTCCTCCAGCTGCAGAAAGCATTACCAGACGTTCAACTGATCAATAAAGACTACAACCCCCTTCTGGACGAAGACTGGCACGACGCGCAGTTTGCCCGGCAGCAAAATTCTTCGTGGCGTGCAGAAAAGGCGATGTTGCTTTTTGCTCCTTCAAAGCCAAAACTTACATGACCAATGAGCTCTTCAAATATGTTTTCCATAGAACATATAGTCAAGATATTTGGATTTGAAATAGCATTTGGTTTGACTAAAATTTCCACTGCTGCGTATTGTGCCATGTATGCAGTGATGGGAGTGCTGCACCATTTGCTCCAAATTGCGCCACAAACGAAAGTCTGCTACATCTTGCGCCAAAATGCTATTTTTGCTAAGAATTACGCCAAACCTGCGCCAAGTGGGCTTCAACAAAGAAAAAAAAGAAAGATATTTAATTATTTGTTGACCCTTTCAGAGAAGTGGGCGGAAAAGAAATTTGTACAAATATGTACAGCCACGCAGATACTAAATAGCTCCAAGCAAGCAAGCGCTCTCCCCCCTTCAGTTACACCACAGACCACACTGAGAAGACGCGGATGATAACAGCACTTTCTTTGCGTTGATGGACTCTCCCCTGTCTGCTTCACATGAACGAGTCCTGCCGTCAAAACGAGTACGAAGGAAAATCGCCAGGATAGCGCTCCTCAGAAAACAAACGTTCGCTTCCTTGGAGCTATTTAGTATTTGCGTGACTACATATTTTAGTGTCTCGACTTACTATATAGTTTGTCTCACGGTCAGAGCACAGTCGAAGGTCTGAACGCATACAACCGCGAATGCACATACTAAAAGCGCAAGTCACGAGACATTTGCTACACTTGATTGGTGTAGTTGATGAAAGAACATGTCAAGGAAAAGGGCGGATGCCATGATGTCTCGATTTGACGCTGCTTTATTGGTCCCACTGCTTTTAGTGTCGGCTGCGCTTTGACTTAAGGTAAAAATATTTCTCTTCAACCGCGCTGCCCGGTCGATCGCCTGCATCGTCGATATTTCCAGGCAATGTCGGGGACTGAAAGTCGTGAGAAAACTGCTAAATATCAGGATGGCAGAAGCTCTAATACGACATACCCAGAGCCTTGTATTCCTTCCTTGATCTTGGTTGTAAACCTCTAACTAAAAAAAAAGAAAAAAAAAAGAACTGTGCTGAGAACTATGCTTGTTTTTGATGGCATTTTGCAGAAATTATATTTACGGGCTAAATAAACTACTTAATGTAAAAGGGGGAGTGGAGTGAGGCTTGATCCTAACTGAAGTGTTGTTCTATGATTCATTTTTCAACCAATTCTTTTTAATCCATTGTAAATCAAACATACTCTAACCAAAGCCTTACTTCTAAAAAAAAAGAAAGTTCTGTGTTAATGAACTGA